CAATGATGGCCTGCTGCTGCACAGGGCTTTCCAGGCTATGTGTCCCTGCTCATGTGGGGGCTGCTCTCAGGAAGCAAGCCTTCCAAAGAGGGTGGCTGGCACATCTGGCTGCATTTCCCTGCCCATGCTAGCTGCCTTCAGGAAACAAACCTTCTGATGGTGGTGGCTGGCAAGCACAGGTGGATCTATCTAAGTTTCTCTGCTCATGCTTGCTGCCAGTGGCAGTTTTGGGCCAGGCCAAATCCTTCCTATGAGCCAGCCAATGTGCTGGCTGGGAGACAAGAAGTGTCAAGCTCCCTCACTCCTGTAAGCAACTAACTATTTGTAAAAAACAGGCTGAGATGATAGCCACTGAAGTTAAAATAAAAAGACTTAATGCCTGTATTATCTGGATGACTTTGCAGGCCTAAAGCTGGTAGTCCGAGCATCTATTTAGGAGATAACAACCTGCAGTATAGCAACTATGGAGGATTTGTTCTGAAGATGCTAAACATTGTTAATTCCCTATTATCCTGTTTTAAAGTCCTATTTCATTTTCTTTTGTTTTGCTTGGTTTTAATCTTTTTTGCTTCATTTTATGATGTCTGATGGCATGTGTAGCTATTTTGAAGATAACAAGACATGTTAAATGTGTTTTATTCATTCAATGGAACCCATAATAAGTGAAAGAGAATAAACTAATATATATAAAAATATGAATTTTAATAACTGTAATCTGGGTGTGAAAGAAGTGAGACAAAATGTGTATATTGCATATTTCTATTTATATGAAATTCTGGAAAAGGCAAAACTAATTTATAGTTATAGAAAACAAAGCATTAGTTTCCCTGGGCTTGGAGCATGGGAAAGACTGAATGATACATGTTACAAATTACCTTCTTCAGAAAATAGGAAAATGATGTTGGAAGATTACATTTTGTTCTAAACAATTTAGAATAGTTTATAAACAAACGGATTGTGATGACAGGTTTAGTAAAACTCATTAACTCTTCATTTGCATTTTTAAATTTTGGTTTATATTTTTTGTAATTTTAAATAGACAAATTATAGTAACATTTATGGAAGAAAAGGTCATAGCATTATTTATAAGTATTATGTAGAAGAATTAAAGAAAGTTATTTAACATATACATAAGCCACAAATACTTATCATTTTTCTGTAATGAGAACCTAATATACTATATATTTCAAAATTACTAAGGGAGAAAATACATATGATCTTAAAGAGAAGGATGGAGGGTTTCAATTCTTCCTTGTGTTTGGCAAGATTTAAGGTCACAAATTTCACACATACTTAGCAATTTTGAAATGTACGTTATTATTTATCACATTCAGGATGCTGTGTAGTATACTTGAAACAAAGAAATCTCATTTTTCCTAATTGAGATTTCACACCTTTGATCATTATCTCCTCATTCCTACCACACCTACAACCTGTAGTAACTAACATTCTATTTTTTGCCTATTTGACAGCAGTTTTAGATTCCATATATAAATGAGAACATGCAATATTTTTCTTTCTATATTTAGATTCATTCACTTACTATGATGCCCTGTTGTTTCATTCTTGTTGAAAATGAAGGGATTTACTTCATTTTAAAGGCTTTATAACATGCTATTGTATGCATTTCAGATTTTTAATCCATTAATTTATGTTTAGATTGTTTCCATTACTTTGCTATTGTGAATAATGATGAAATAAACATTAGAATAAATAAATCTCTTTTTATACAATTTACATTACTTTGTATATATACCCAGAAATTAAAGTGTTAGACCACATGATAATTACACTTTTTTTAAGAAACCTATATAGCATTTTCCAAAATGTGTGTACTAATTTACGTACCCATCAACAGTATAATACATAACATTTCTCTCCTAATTTCATTAAAACTTGTTTTATTGTTTATCTGTTTGATCATACCTACAATTCACAGGCATGAGGTATTTTGTAGGTATAATTTGTTTTTTTATCATATTTAGAGATATTAAACATTTTTTCACTGTTGGCCAGTCATCATCTTTTGCCAATTGAAAATTTGAGGAATTTTATTTCTATTAAATCGCTTGGTTTTGACATCATCTCTCTCACAGTATGTTTGGCAGATATTTTTCTACCAGTCTCATGCTTGTAGTTTCACTTTGTTAGTTGTTTCCTTTTCTGTGAAAAAGCTTTTTAGTTTGAAGTAATCTAATGTGTCTATTTGTGCATTCTCCTCTGTGTTTTGCTCTTATGTCACAAAGAAATCATTGTCCAGATCACTCTTGTGGAGAATTCCCCTTATATTTTCTTTTAATAGATTTACAATTTCCGAATTTTTTATGAAAGGCACATAAAGACTTATTAGGTTGAGATGAAGTACACACTGAGAAGCAAATATGACTGTTAAGGTGAGATCATATATTTTAAGATCCTATATTTACATCTTCAATCTATTATGAGTTGTTTTTTGTATATAGTGTAATGCAAGTATTCAAATTCATTGTTCCACACACATATGAATATTTAGTTTATGAACCATTGATGAGCAGCCTATTCCTATCTTGCAAGTGGGATACATATATAGACATTCCTATCTTTCAAGTGGAGCATACACAAAATATAAAATGATGAATTCATTTATACAAATTAATCATATCTGGATTTACATTCACCATTTATCGCATTTATGTTTTGAACCATTTTTATTTTTCCTCTATCTTCAATGTTCTGACTTTTTGAGATTTAAATGATTTTCTATGTTTCATCTTAATTTATTTATTACATTTTGGCTATATTAATGTGTATTATTTTAATGGTTGCTCTAGAAACTATAGTATATATTCATCTCACTTTTCAAAGTTTTCATCTGTATATATGACAATATGTAAATACTTAAGAACCATATGTAAAATGATGTAGTATTTGCATATACCCCAGGCATGTCTTCCTATATAGTTTATATCAACTTTATGTTATTTAAAATACCTAACAAAGTATAAATAGTTGTTTTACTGTATTGTTGGGGGATATTCACAATGTATAAATTGTTCAGTAGAGATGCAATTTAAAAAATGCTTTTGAAACTGATTGGCTGATTAGATATGGAACTATCAGAGGGCCAAGTGTATTTAGAGATGACATTTTACATTTTAAGAACATATAAGTCTTATATTATATGGGGCCATTTATTTTCTTTATTTGGACTGAAATTTCCTGTATATATTATGCCTATAAATTTCCCAGAAAATTTAATAAATTTTGCTTTCAGTGATTGTGTAGATTCTATATAACTTTAGAAGTGAAAACTGGTATATAATATATATTACAAAACATCATTTCAGTTATTTTTCTTTCATTCTTAAATTAACAACTTTCTTTTTGGTAGGTAACTTATTTACCTTTAGGGTACATAACTTATTTTAACATTCTTTTTACGAAAAATTTGACAACAAATACTTTTAGTTTTCATTTATCTGAGATTGTATATTACTTTCATTCCTGAATATATCTCTTTGAATATGGAATTCTGGATGCACTGTTTTTGCTTCTAGCATTTTAAAGATGTTCTCCTAACTTCCAGTATTCACCATTTTCAGTGAAAAACCTATAGCTATTTGAATATATATATTAAAAAATAATAGGAAAAATAGAAAAGGAACAAAAGTTATTAAAGCTATGGCAAGCCAGTGCAGACAGTGTACTATATCTAAAAGTGTACTTTAACTTAGTAAAATTCTTTCATTTTTAAAATGTAACTTATTTTTTATTTTATTGAAAAATTAAAACAGAATTTCATAACAAAATAGGAGAATAGCAATAGTTAACACATTGCATATTATCATCTTCAAAATAGTTACTCAGAGTACAAGATATGGACATAAAATTTCACCAATTGATATAAGAACACACCTTTCTTTTCAATGAACTTAATGACACTAATAGTATAGCTACCTTGCATTTTTCCCCTTCCTTCCTTTCTCCTTCCACCCTCCTCCAAGTATTTTTCCTTTTGAGAAATTACTACCAATTTCACTATCTATTTCAATATCTATTGTGCATTCTAGATGTTATTTACTCTTTCAGTTCCTTACACAAAAGAGATAATATGAAGCTTACACATGTGAGTTTGTTTATTTAACTTATGAGTATGGTTTAAAGTTGCATTCATGTACCTATAAACATCTCAAGTTTATCCTTTTTTGTGGCTGAGTAGTAATTCATTGTCTAAAAAGATCACATTTTTTTATTTATCCCTCAGTTGATGAGAATTTTGGTGGTTTTCAAAATCTAGCTACTACAAATTGTGCTCCTATAAACACAGGCGTTCTTATATTGCTGAGAAACGATGTTTTAAATTATTTTGGGAAGATTCCAAGAAGGGGAATAGCTAAGTCAAATGGGATCTTTAATCCTAGTTTACTGAGGAATCTCCATATATATTTCCACACTGGTTGCCCCAGTCTACACTCTCCCCAACAGTGAAGAAGTGTTCCATTTCCTCACAGCATCACTTGCATTTATTATTGGTTGATTTCTTGGTGGTAGCCATTCTTTCTCTAGTGAGATGGAATCTGTATTGTTGTAATTTGCATCTCTCAAGAGAACAATGACATTGAACATTTTTATGTATTTATTTGACATAGTTCTTTATGTGAGAAGTGTGTAATCATCTCAGGCTCCCATTTTTGGATTGAGTTTTCAAATTTGGGGGCCATCAGATTTTTTTTCCAATTCTTTTTATGTTCTGAATACAAAGCCTTTGTCTGAGGGACAATTGGCTAATGTTTTGCCATTCTGTGAGTTGACTTGTTATTCTGTTGGTGAATTCTATTGATGTGCAAGTACTTTTTAATAAGATTAGATCCCAGTCATGAATTCCTTGAAATATTTCCTCTGTAGTTTTTTTTTTAATTTTAAAGAGGATAAAACCAAGGAAAATAAAACAGAATAAAACCAATAAAATTAACACTATGTGATACAGGATGTCAAAACATTACAAAATCATCAATAGTTACCATAATGCCTTTTGTTGTCTTCAAAATATCTGCAGATACCTTTGGACATAGTAAAAATTGAACAGAACTGCATAGAATAGAAACAATAAAAACAAAACAATCAATGCAAGAAAGGACTTCAAAATAAGCTAAACAGTAAATCCAAAGTGGCTACAATTCTGTCTTTCAAATAGCTGCTCATGCCATCACATTTAACATAATCAAACAAAACAAAAGAGAACAAAACCCTACTCAAGAAAACAATGAAAATGATATGGTTTTTATGAAATGATCACCTTCTGGTGAGGCCAGATTCTCTACCTCTGCAGTCCACAAATAGCACTGACTCAAGGAGAGAGGCTTGGGTCTGCCTGTCCACACTCTGGTAAGAGCCCAGGCATGGCACTGGTTTCCAGGCAGGGACGACCCCATTGTGAAGCCTGGTTTTATCCCTCCACAGTCCACCAATGGTTTTGACTCATGGAGAGAGTTGTGGGCATGGCTGGTCCCACTCCAGCAGCAGCCTACACATGGTCTGTTTTCCAGGTGGGGATTACCTAGTTGTAAGGCCTGGTTCTCTCCCTCCGCAGTGTGAGAATGGCCTGCAGTTGCATTTTCTTCACGAACTGTGCCTACAACCATTTCTTCAAGATTTTTATGTACATTCTCTTCCAGTAATTTATTATTTCTGATTTAATATTTAGATGTTTGATCCATTTTGACTTTAATTTAGTGCGTGGTAATAGACATGGGTCAAATTTCAGTCTTCAGTATGTTGTCTTTCATGTTTTATATGTTATTTGGCCTGTTAGTCTGGTTTTAAATCTGTGTGTATGACAATTAATTTTATAAGGTTTTATAAGATACATACATGAATCTGATGCTAGAAAAGTAAAAAAAGGATTGGAGGGAGGGGGGAAAATGAAAGAAATTGAAATGTGTTTTGTACATGAAATTATCCCCTGCAGTGGATGTAATCATTGTATACTGAAAACACGTAGTAATGAAAGTTAAAAAAAAAATCTTCTGGGTATAGCATGTCATTTTCTCTGGATGCTTTCAGCACATTTTCCTTATCATTAGTCATCAGTCTTCCAGTAGTTTGACTTTAATGTGCCTAGGTTTGGTTTTCCTTGTAGAATTCATGAGTTTATTGAATCTACAAATGTATACCTTTAACATATTTTGATTAAAATTTGGCCAATATTTCTTCAAATATTTTCCCCTGCATCCATTTCTTTCTCCTATTCAGTAGAGATTTGATTAATAGAAATGTTAGACCTTTTGATATTGTTCACCAAGCCCCCGAGGAACTGTTTTGTTTCAGTATCACTGGTTTCTTCTGATTCTATAAATTTTATTGGTTTGTTTTCTATATCCTTGACACTTTATTATGTCATTTATATTTCATTATTGGTTTAATCTTGTAGTTTAAATTTTCAGGTATAATTTACATTTCTACAATTGCCAATTTTTAAAATAACTTATTTTCTATTTTTGATGAAGACAGCTGTTTTTCCATGTAAGGGTATTCACAATGGTATCATGGAACATCATTATATCATGTGCTTTAATTTCTTTTTTCTTATCAATAAATATGTTAACTTGACAATGGAGAAATACTTTTTAATTAATGTAGGTCTGATTTTGACTTGCTCTACAATACACATCAGGAAAGTACAATAGAAAATGAAACTAATTGATAATTTTCTTTCTTATATTCTTGTTGCTGAGATAAAATATCCAACACTCAAAGTTAAAAGGAAAAGTTTACTTGGTTTACACTTCATAGAGGTTTCATTCCATTGTCAGCTTGCTCCAAAGCAGGATGGCATGGCAGAGGGGCATCACAGAAAAGAGAGTCTAGGGCAAAAAAGAAGATACAAAAGGCAGCAAGTACCAAGTAAGCAATAAGCAATGATCATGTCAGTCCTCTTTGTCTCTTATATTTTATGCAGACTACCCATCATTAGGGCAGGTGTCACTCACACCTTTAATTCTAACATTGCAATTTCAATCCCAGCATCACACCCTTAATCCCAGCACCAAAATCTATCCAGCTACCACCAAAAAACTCCACCTATTATCACATTAGGTTTTTGGGGGGCATCCAAATACAAGTCATAATAATAATAAAACAAAAAGTAAATTAAATATTAAAGGCTCCAACTACTGCACCAACGCCTACTGGCAGTTTCCAGCTACACACATAATATTTTAACCAACAGTCATGAAGGATTTAAACTTCCAGTCCCACTAGCTTCTACAAAAATGTGTCCTTCAGACTGACTTTAGTGGATTGCCAGTATGTCATTTTAATGTACATAAAAGTATCCCTTGGAGGGGAAAATCTTGGATTCTTATGGAGATCTGCTTTCAGAATAAAAATATCAATATAGATATTTTAGCTATTAAACATTTTTTGCGGAGTAAAATTTCTGCATATATAGTCCAGATAATTCAGCTATTTCTTCAGTTGTCAAAAGATTTTCTTCAGGTACAAGCTATGTCTGACCCTACTCCAGCACTGTCTATTATTATCTGGGTTTGATTTTCAAAGTTTTCTTGTTGAAAATAGTTTAAAATTATCATTACCATTGTCATAACTGTCTTTGTCATTGGTCTACATCTATGCAACTGTGTTCTCTTAATTATTTCTTCCAGAATCCCACAGTTCTCAATAATACATGCTTGACCACTACCTGGACATATTTTACAGCCTTATCTAGAGCTTGTTACCAAATTTACGCATCTGTGATTAGCCTAGGGAATTAGGCTACCAACCTCTGACTAAAGGGGCACCTAATGACATTCCCACTTAGTGCAAAAACAGTTATGGATATGGCTACTTTTTTCCTCATCGAAGAATTGACTTTGCTGGTTTGTCTGGGAAAAAATGTGCTGGCTTCCCATTGACAGCTTAAAGTGTGTAACTAAACTCCCTGTTAAGTAATCCCACTCTTGTGTACACAGCCATAAACAGAAATAAATCATTTGTTGTAAGGCCTCTTCATTCTTTCCAGTGACTCTTGACCTGTTTTATCTAAAAAGACATATATAAACATCCTCATCACTTTCATTTATAAAGCTAAAACTTTTCCATAAGGGACTCCTATAAAGAAAGAAAAACTTGAGACAGTAATAAGTAAATGGAGTCAAATTAGGATATAATGTTAAGCAAATAAGTCAGACACTCAAGCTTAAATAGTGCATGGTTTGACATACATGTGTATATACTATACATACATATATATGCTCCATATAAATATGTATATATCTAGATATATCTACATCTATCTATATAAATATAAATACATATATATTAATATACCTATCTATAAATATATCTATAAATATAGTCAGATTATATCAAGATATAGATGAGGGGATATATAGAAGATAAATAAAAAGTAAGGTGATCTTTTTCAAATGGACGGTGCAACAAGAAGAGATGGAGAGAGGGGAAGGGAAGAGCGTAGAAAAGAAAGAATTGAAGGGGAAAATGAGGATGAAAATAGAACTTTTCATCCTCAGATGAAAAGTTAGTTGATAGGAAGGGGGCCAAGAATTGGAAGGAGATAAGGGGGAGAGAAACCACTATGCAATGTAGAGGGAGTAAAAAAATATTAAGTTAAGGAAAATTAAACTGTATTGTGTACATGTACCATCTCCTCACAAGAAATATCATAATGTACTGTAAATATATACTAATGAAAAGTGAAACAAATCAATTTATTTTGATAAATGATGAGTATACATATATAATTTTAAACAAGTGCAAGTACTCACTGAAGAGCTACAGGGTGCCAAATAAACTATATAAACACAGTCTTTGATAATCATGTTTCTTTCTTTCCTAATCCCCTTTTCTATATTCTCAGTACATTATGAAAACCCCATTCTCTCACATTTACTCATTTCCTTTTGACAGGCTTCTGTAATCCGAACAATCTTATGTTTTCTACAAAAAGATAAAAATTTCTTTGTCATGTGATTCTATTATCTGGCTCATCTCAGGTTTGGTATCTGTTGATTGTCTTTTTGGCTGACAACTGCTGATATTTTTGTGTGTCTTTCTATGCAAAGTAATTTGAGATTGTATCCTTGAAATTTTGAATATTAAGTTTCTAAGTATTCTGAAAATTATCTGGTTAATATTATGGTTGTTTCAGCAGGCAGTTATCATTGTTTCAAGACACATGTTGTAACTCTCTGCATATAATTACTGTAATGGAATTGTTCAAATTTTCAGTCTTTAAAAAGCTGTTTGTGTGTGTTGCTTGTGTGTACCTCATGGATCTGTTTGAAATTTAACTATTAGTTGATATTGTAGTTCAGTTTTTATTCTTTGGGTATACACGCAGCTATACATTTCCACAAGCTTCATATTTATGGATTCAGTAACTGTGGTTCAAACATATTTGAGACGGGATTTCAGTGTCGTTTAATTTGTATTTCTTGAATGGCCAGCAATGTTGAACACTTTTTCACATATTCATTAGTCATTTGTATTTCTTTATTTGAAAAGTGTCTATTCATATCAGATGACCATTTATAATTGAGTCCTTAAATTTAAGGTGTCTAACTGTTGAGTTCTTTATATATTCCAGATATTTGTCTGAGGAGTATTTACCAAATTTTGTTTCGAATTCTGTAGGTTATCTCATTACTCTGTTGGTCACTTAATTTGCAATACAGAAGATTTTTAATTTTATGGGATCTCATTTGTTGATTTCTGCATTATTTCTTTTGTCATTAGGGTTTTGTTCAGAAAGTTTTGCCAACACCTGTGCCCTCAAAAGCTGTAATACTTTAACTTACAGTAAACTAAGTGTTTCTGTTGACATTTTGATCATTTATCAATCTTGATTTCAGTTTAGCACATGATGAGAGATGTAAGTCCGGGTTTGACCTTCAGCATGTGGATAGCCAGGTTTCCCAGCAGCATTTGTTAGAGTTTGTCTTTCCTCCAGTGAAATGATTTGGGGCTTTGTAAAAGAAAGCAGTTGAGTGTTCCTGTAATTGTTTCTGTGTCTTCTATTCTGTTCCATTCATCTATAAGTCATTTTTATTTATTTATATATTATTTATTTATTGTCAACACCACATTGTATCTCTATAGTTTTGAAGTTCAGGATTTTGATGGCCCCTGTGTTACCCTTTTTGGCCCAAATTGTTTTTGCAATTTTAAGTCTCTTCCAGATCTATAGGAATTTTAGAATTGTTTTCTCCATTTCTGTAAGGAATGTTACTGGGTATCTTGATTGAGATTCCATTAAATCTACATAACAATTTTACAAGTATGGCCAGTTTGACTATATTGGTTCTGTCTATCAAGCAGCAAGGGATTTCATTCCCTTTTTCATACCCTTCTCAATCTTCTTTTCAAGAATACCATAGTTTTCATTGAGAGTTCTTTCACTTCTTTGGTTAGCTGAATTCCTAAGTGTTTCACAGTTTTGAAATCATTATGAAGGCTATCACTTTCTTAATTTCTCTCTCTGCAAGTTTTGTACAGGAATACTATTAATTTTTGAGTACTGGCTTTTTATCCTGCTATGCTGAAGAATTTGGATATCAGTTCTAAAAGTCTTTTGGTGGAGTTTTGGGGGTCTTCTATGCAAAGAATTGTGTCATCAGCAAATAATAATTTAAATTCTTTGTTCCCTATTTATATTTATTTTTGTATCATCTTTTTGCTTTGATGTTTCAAGAACTATATTAAACAAAAGTGGTGATAGCAGACATCTAAACTTTTTTCCTTATTTTAGAGGGAAAACTTTCAGCTTCTCTCAATTTAGCATGATGTTGCACATTTTTTTCTCACAGAACACTGTAATTAGACTGAGATAAGGACCTACTATTCTTATTTTCTTCAGGTTTTCTATTAATGGGTGTTGGATCTTGTAAAAAAAAAAATTCTGCAGCTGCTGAGAGGCTCGTGTGATTTTTGTCCTTGCTTCTGTTTATGTGGTGTAATACATTTATTGATTTGCATATATTGAACCCTCTTTGGATCCCTGGGATAGATCTAGCTTAGCAGAAATGTATGATCTGATTTTGTTTTCATTTGTACTTAAGGATTAAGATTAAACATCGTTCAGAAGAAACATTGTTTGGTGTGTGTACTTTCTATCTCTATATCTTTGTGGTGAGACTCTCACTTTAGTTTTTGCCCATTATTTATTTGGCTCTTTGTTGATTTCTTATTGAGACTCTGTGTATTTTCTCAGTGCATAGATTGTCATTACATTTTAAAGTTTTTCAAATGTCAGAAATAATTAATTTTGATGGAGTCAAATAAATTCATTATTTTCCTTTATTACTCATGGTTTTGGTATCATGGCTAATAAATACTTGTGTAATATAAGTATATAAAAGTTATCTCCCAGTATTTCTTTAACATGCATACATTTAAAGTTCTCAGTCAGATTTATTATTAAAGTTTGGATACAGTATGGAAGATAGTTAAAAGTTTATTTATTTTGCATCAAATAATGCTATGTTAACAGTATACCACATGACTAAGCTCAGAAGCCTATCTTCAGTTTATTTGCAAGAATATCTATCTATCTATCTATCTATCTATCTATCTATCTATCTTTCTTTCTTTCTATCTCTCTCTGTATTTCTCTATTTCCCTCTCTCTCTCCTGCATTAGGATGGGGGAAGTGAAACGTGAAAAATCAAATACTTGCCCTTAAAATTTAATCTTTACAATGTGTTTTTCAGTACATGTTTAAGGACCTGTTATTTTCATTACCACAAAAGCAGCTACTCATAAAACCTTTTAAAGAAAGATTAGGCTTTGATTTTTGTACTGGGGCTCAAACTCAGAACCTCATGGTTACCAAGTAGGCTCT